GCTGACTCTGGGGGTGCTGTGCGCGGGGGTGCTGAGCCTGGGGGTGCCACTGCTGGGGGTGCTGGGCCTGAGGGTGCTACTGCGGAGGGTGCGGAGCCTGGGGGTGCTGAGCCGGGGGGTGCTGTGCCTGGAGGTGCTGGGTCTGGGGGTGCTGGGTCGGGAGCTGCTGAGCCTGGGGGTGCTGAGCTGGGAGCTGCTGAGCCTGGGGGTGCTGCGTCTGGAGCTGCTGAGCCTGGGGTTTCTCCTGCTGCTGCGTCTCGCCGGGAGCCCCTCTCTCCACAGGAGCTGCGCGAGTGGTTCGCTCGCCGCTGGAGGCGTGCTGCTGAGTTTGGAGGTGCTGCTGGAGCTGGAGCTGGAGCTTCTTCGACCGTCGAGGGTGCGGGTGCTGCCGGTCCCGGAGCTACTGGACCTACTGGTCCTCCTGGAGCTGGAGCTGCTGAGGGCGTTGGTGCTGAGCCTACTGCTGTTGGTCCTGCCGCTGGAGGTGTGGGTGGCGCTGGTGCTATCGCTGAGGGTGCTGGTGCTGTCCCTGCTGAGTCTGGAGCTGCCGCGCGGCCTCGGCCGTACTTCGTTCCGCTCCTGCAGCAGGTTCTTGGTCTTTCTCCTCCAGTAGAGGGTCCACCGCCTGTCCAGTCGCAGTCCCTGCTGGAGCCTTCCTCTCCACTGCCTGCTCCCTCTCCTTACACTGGTCCTACTGGAGGTCTTGCTGAGCGTCGTGAGCCTGCGTCTCGTCCCGCGTCGCCTGTTCGTGCTGCTCGCGCTAGTGGTCGCAGTTCGCGTCAGCGTCCTCCTCCTGTCCCTGGCACGCACCGGATGTCTTTGCGTCCGTCCACTGCTCCTCTGCGTGCCCCTTTGCCTTCTCCTCCTGAGTCTTCTCTTTCTTCGCTTGCCGACCCTGAGTCGGACTCTCTTCGTGCTGCCAGTCCTACTGTCACGCGTCTGCTTGCTACTGTCGTCACTGACCCCTCTTTTGAGTCCACTGCTGCGTCTGCTCTAGTCGCTGAGCTCGTCGACTTTGCTGCTCGCTGTCGCCTCGACTACGCTGCTAGTCTTGTTGCTGAGTCTGCGTATGTCTGTCCTCCGTCCGTCGGGGGTGAGTGTGCTCTTGGCACGGACGTCCTAGAGGACACGCAGGAGGAGTTACAGTGTCTAGCGGCTGCTTCACCTCATCTCGCGTCTGTACTGCTTGCCCCTGAGGGAGACCCGGATGCACTAGACATCCCGACTCCGCGTTCTTACGCGGAGGCCGTAGAGGGTCCCTACTCCTCTCAGTGGCAGGCAGCTATGGATGCAGAGATGGCTTCCTGGAAGTCCACAGGCACCTACGTTGACGCGGTTCCCCCTCCTGGGGCGAACATCGTCAGTGGCATGTGGATCTTCAGGGTGAAGCGGCCGCCGGGCTCTCCACCTGTCTTCAAGGCACGGTACGTCGCTCGTGGCTTCAGTCAGCGGCAGGGAGTTGACTACTTTCAGACCTTCTCTCCCACCCCGAAGATGACTACTCTTCGGGTGCTGCTGCACATAGCCGCTCAGCGCGACTACGAGCTTCACTCTCTCGACTTCAGCACTGCGTTCTTGCAGGGTAGCCTGCACGAGGAGATCTGGCTTCGCCGTCCACCTGGCTTCACTGGGACTTTCCCTCCTGGCACCCAGTGGAGCCTCCGACGGCCAGTCTACGGTCTCCGCAAGGCACCGCGTGAGTGGCACGACACACTGAGGACTACGCTTGCGGCCCTTGGGTTTGCTCCTTCTACTGCTGACCCGTCGCTGTTTCTTCGCACCGACACTTCCCTGCCGCCGTTCTACATCCTCGTGTACGTCGACGACTTGGTCTTTGCCACAGCGGACACTGCTGGACTCGCCTACGTGAAGTCCGAGCTGCTGAAGAGACACACGTGCACAGACCTGGGTGAACTGCGCAGCTACCTTGGCTTGCAGATCACTCGGGACAGAGCACGCCGCACCATTACCTTGACTCAGTCACACATGGTGCAGCAGGTCCTTCAGCGCTTCGGCTTCACGTACTCCTCGCCTCAGGCCACTCCTCTGCCTACTCGCCACTCACTCTCAGCTCTGCCTTCGGATGAGTCCGTAGAGTCGAGTGGCCCGTACCCAGAGCTTGTTGGCTGCCTCATGTACCTGATGACCTGCACACGACCTGACCTTGCATACCCTCTGAGCATTCTTGCACGCTATGTTGCTCCTGGGAGACACAGACCAGAGCACATGGCTGCAGCGAAGAGGGTATTGCGCTACCTGTGCAGTACGTCGGGCATGGGGCTAGTGCTTGGAGGGCGGAGTCCAGTGGTCCTTACCGGCCGCGCGGACGCTTCTTGGGCTGACGACCAGGCTACGCAGCGGTCGTCACAGGGTTACACCTTCAGCCTTGGTTCCGGGTCTGTCTCGTGGCGGTCTACTCGCTCGTCTTCGGTTCTCGGCTCCAGTTGTGAGGCTGAGATCTACGCCGGGGCCATGGCTGCACAGGAGCTTCGCTGGCTCACCTACCTGCTGACTGACCTTGGAGAGCCGCCTCGTTCTCCTCCAGTGCTGTACGTAGACAACAAGGCCATGCTGGCCTTGTGTCGAGAGCAGCGCTTGGAGCACAGAACGAAGCACATTGCTCTCCGCTACTTCCTTGCTCGTGAGCTGCAGCAGCGTGGTCAGTTGCGACTTGCGTACGTGGCCTCTGAGGCCAACACTGCTGATGTGTTCACCAAGGCACTCGCGCCTTGTGACCATCAGCGCTTTTGCACCCAGCTGGGTCTTGTGCCTGTCTTGCCTCACTTGCTCTCCTCTTGACTTTACTTGTACTGTGACATATATATACCTGCTCTTGCTTGTCTAGTTTTATATATATATGTCTGTACTCCTGCATGTGAACTGGCCTCTGGCCCTGCTCTTGTGCTCGGACTGTGTGGTGACTTTGTGATCCACCCTGAGCTTGCTCTGCTTTGCTTTACTTGACTGGTCTTGTGACCCCTTGTTCTCCCCCACTTTGCCTATGGGGGTGTGTCAGATTTATATGACATATTTGCTGTAGGCTATAGTGGGGTAGCACATATGGGGTACAGGGTTTCTAGGGTTGTATTTGTACCCAATCTTTCCTTAGTCATTTTCATTCCTGTTCATTCTTTTCACAGGCGCCATTGCTGGCTGCGCCTGAGCGCTGTCCCACGCTCTTGTTTTGTGTTGGTGTGCCGGATGAGATGACGATCGGCTCGTCCGATTGTGCAGATGCATTTGTCGGTGCGTGTGGTGGCGCTGGAGTGTTCATCGTCGATTGCTGACGCGGGGAGTCACGTTCCGCCGTGAGCGTCGCAATTTCGAGCGCCGAATCTTCAAGTTGGCGCACCAGACGGTCGAGCTGCTCCTGCGTCAATGTGGCGAGTGTGAATTCGGCCATGGCGGGGGTGTCGGGCGAGCTCAGCGAGAGCCTTGGTCGTGGCCGTGCGTGCTTACGAGAGAGCACTACGAGCGGCGGTGCTGTGTCGCTTAGAGACGTCTACCCCCCCCAAAAAAATTGAGATAGTGGGGAAGCGAAGGTGTGGGTGCGGTCCGAGAAGAGATCGTAGGCTCTGGATACCAAGTGTTACGAGTGCAATTGAGTGAACGAACGAGAATTGCACTATCGAAGCAAGAGTACAATGAGCGAAGGCATGAGCGAAGAATATATAGCGAAGCTACAGTGGTAACGGTAATGGACTGTGGTTGTCGCGCGACGGGCCTGGGACTGAGGTTGGGAAAAGTGTCGAAGCGGAGGCCCGGAGCGCGGGTTACCCGCCGAGCCGTGAGGTCGGGATGCGACGTGCGAAGGTGGCGGGCGGATTGTCGATGCGAGGGTTGCGAGTGGTAACGGTGCTGATTGTGGTGCTACAGTGATGTACGCGTTGAGCGGGGATGCGAAGTAAGGAAAAGGAATTTTTCTTACACGGAATCATACAACACTAAGAACATGTACCGTATTTGTTACAATTGCTGAATATTAAAAACCGAAACCATCATTAGTGCTGTACATACATTAAATGGCCAGAACCGCTGCAAGCTAGAACTGCAGGCAAATCAGTTACAATCCCCCCAAAAAATATATGTTACTGTTCAAATTGCCTGTCCATCCATGCCATCTCACGTAGCGTAATGTACTTAACCACCAATCACACCACATGTAGATATTTAGCAGGATTCAACAGCAGTCCCAGCATCATGTTGTTTCACAACAAAACGGTTCCTGGCACAAGCACCATGTGATACAGAAGACACACTCCCGTGGTGCTGATAGGACAGGCGTGGCAGTCGGGGCAGGTGTGACATGTGGGAGAGCCTGTGGGCCACTGGAGGACTCGGCATGAATGCTGCTGCTGCCTCTGCTTCTTCCTCTTCTCCTGCCGCAACTCCTATCCCTCTCTTGTCCCCTAACCGTGGACCCACCACGCCCATTGCCTTTTCGGTAAGCCCTGCCATTTCTCCATCCTCGTTATAAGCTCCCTCGGCCGCAACAGAAAGCTCGCCCCCGTGCGTGTTGCTAATAGTGCGGCCACGAGCAAGGATATCTGTACCATCAATTACTGCTTCAGGAAACTCAAGTTCCTGGTAGGTGGTGGTACCCTCAGCTTCATCAGCACAGGGAAACTCGGAAGTTTTACACTTGGTCGCAGTTGCTGACTCAGCACCCCCAGAAGCCGAAGCACCCTTACCAGCCTCAGCACTCTCAGCAGCCTCAGCACTCTCAGCAGAGACTGTGAGAGAAGCAGCACCCACGGTTGTAGCACCTCCACCGCCGCTCCGCTCACCCTGCTGTTTTCCTTGCTGCTCCCTCTGCTGCTCCCTCTGCTCCACTCCCCCAACTGGCGCCATCCAGACTATGCCTCCTACAAGTGAGCCAGCTCCGGTGGCTCCTACAGCTGATTTACCACTTTCGCCGACCACCACTGATAGCACGGCGACACTGGGAGACGGGTCACCGTCTACGGCGAAGCAAGCGAACCGATTGAACACGGACTCAGTCATGTTATGAGCATGTCCTTGGGAAGAAGCACCAGCGCCGCTGCTGCCGCTGCTGCTGCTCCACCTGCTGCTGCACTGCGCCCGCCACATCTGCGGTTTCAGCTCGGCCCACGAGTCACACTGTAGCGAGGCGACTTGTAACGAGGAGGCTTGTAACGAGGTGGCTTGTAACGGGGATGGTTCCGGGTAGTCAACAAGGAGAGTGATGGCGGAAGGTTTTTGCGCGGGGCCGATGACACGGATGTCATAATTCACCACCACATGGCCGTTCCTGAAGGAAAGATAAGGGAGATTAACCAAGGGAATAGTGGGAATTAGTAGCACATAACACGGAGTCAATGACACGGATGTCCGTTCCTGAAGAAGAGAGGAGGACAACAATGTAACACTCATGACGAAAGATGGCTTTGGAGTTGCCTCAGAAGGCAGTCATGGCAAATTACTGGACGCAGTTTGGATGCAGAAAGATAGCGCCCGAGCTCTCCAAACTGTTCCCAGTATTTTGCCATGACTGTCTTTTGAGGCGACGCAAAAGCCGTCTTTTGCTATGACTGATGTTTTTCTATTCTAGAAAGAAACGGAAACACTGTATCCAGCAATGATCGGCTTACTTGAAAGCTCCCAGCATAAACGCCCCTCCGCGCATGCCCAATGCAAGTCCCTCCCCCATCTCCCCCATTTCCCCCTCCAGCCGCACTTCCAGGCGCGGGTCCTGTGGGGGGTAGCGCGGAATGATGATGTCTGTGGTGGGAGATGGGGGGATGGGGGATGGACGAGGTGGAACGCATGGGAGAGTCTATGTATGAGGCGCCTCAAAAATAGAGCCCCGGGGGGAGGAGGGGGGGTAGCGCGGAATTATGATGTGGATGTGGGATGGACGAGAAGAAAGAGAAGGGAGAGGGGGAGGGGAGGGAAGAGAGGGAAGGGAAGTGGGGGGGTGATGGTAGGGGTGGGAGGGAAGGGAGTGGTCGAGGGGTGGGAGGGTGAGAGGGGAGCAAGAAATGGCAGGGGTTGAGAGGTAAGGAGAAAACGAGGTGCAGAGTGGTTAAGATGGGCACGCAAGGCAATCACGACGACTTGGGGTGGAATTGGGGTAGGGGTTGCTTTGCAAGAATGCAAGAATAAAGAGCCAAGTGGGCAGGGGAGGGGAGGGAGAGAGAGGAAATGAAGCAGACGGGGAAGTGGCATCACCAGGCAAGTCAGAACAATACAGCTCTTTCTATGACACTTTCAACAAGTGCAGTTCACCGCACCTCACCGCACCTCACCGCACCTCACCGCACCGCACCTCACCTCACCTCACCTCACCTCACCGCACCTCACCTCACCACGTACCATGATTGTACTCGCGGCTTCTCCGAAGCGCTCCTACCAGATCACCATGCCCCTCATTCCCCATCCTTGCAATCATATCCTCCCCACTCCCCTCCCCACTCCCCTCCCCACTCCCCTCCTCATTCCCCTCCTCGTTCTCCTCCTCATCTCCCCTCAGTATTTTTATCAGCACCCTCCCCTGCCGAACATCCACTCCGTTCATTCTCCTCTCCCCCGCCGCCTCCCACACGGACGGAGTTGTTGCCACCCACTGGCACCCAGCAGACCCAACAGATCCAGAAGAGCCGTCCCCGCACAGGACCAATGGCGGCGCGCCACGTGGCAGTGCGAGGATGAGGTGGCTGGGAGGGGAGTCGGCGCCAGCAACGGCGGCACCGAAGCGGATGGTATAGGCCGGGGTTGTGCCTCGCGATATGGCCCTGCGATGCGCAGGAAAGGAAGGAGAGAGGGGGGGAGAGGAGGGGAGGCGGAAGCAAAGGGCAGGAATGGGGGCGGCACCGTATTGGATGGTGTAGGCCGGGGCCGTGCCTCGCGATATGGGCCTGCGGTTTTCTGGATAGAACAGGGAATGGGGGAGGGTGTGGGAGGGAGAAGAAAGGTGGAGGGAGGAGGGTGGAGGGTAGAGGAGGGGAGGGGGAGAGGAGGTGGAAGAAGAAAGAAAGAGGCTGGGTGGTCGAGCGACTCAACTCTTGTGCATCAGAGTGGTTCTGAGTCGCATGGTATTTTTGAGAATTCAGAAAAGCACAGAGATTTCTAAAAAGCACAATTTAATGATTTCTCAAAATCGTCATGGGTGGTTGGACACAAAAAGGGACGACGGGAGGGGAAGGATAGAGAAACGGTCGAACGAGCGAGAGTCATTGATGAATTGGGATACGGATGATACGAGATGTGACATGCCAGGAAGGTGATTTTTTTTCTCTCTCTCCCTCTCTCACCTTGGAACAAAAGCGCTTGGTGCTTATCATGCCTCTAATCCCACGGCGCGCCAGAAAATAAGAGTGGAATTTGTTTTACCTTGAAATGGATATGCTGATAGTGCCTCTCACTCCACGGGCGTTCACCGGGTGCGCAGAGAAGTGGGCTGCAGAGTGCGTCGTGATGAGGGATAGAGGGCGAGGGCGAGGAGAGTGGGAAGAAATGAGAAAGGGGGGGTGGGATAGAGGGAAGAATGAAGAATCATATGGGTGGAACCGAGAGACGGAGAGTGGTGCCGAAGTGGGCTGCAGAGAAAGTCGTTGGAGGCGCGGAGCGAGGAGGGTAGAAGAGAAGGAAGAGAGGGAGAACGGGGAAGTGGGAGAGAGCGAAGAATAAAGAGAAGAGGTCGGAAGTAGGGAAAATGATGGATATAGAAAGTGTGTGAGCAAGGGAGGGAGGGAGAGAGGGAACGAAAGAGGCAAAGAAACAAGCAGCAGCAGCTAGAGGGATTTCGGCCCCAAAAAAAACAGTGCAAAGCGCAGCATGACTGGAAGCAGCAGCTAGAGGTTGCGGTCTCACTGCTGCAGCAGAAATAGCAGGAACAGCAGACACAAGCCTTGTGCGGACAAAGCAGAGGTCAAAGCAGATTGCGATAGTGCGCCGCGGCCTGGCCTCACCTTCCCCCGTGGGGCTGGCGAGCGCGAGTGACGGAAGGAGAAAGGCGAGAAGCGCTGCTGCACGCACGAGCGACGGCAGAGGGGGGAGAGGGAGAGAGAAGCAGGGAGAGAGACATGAAGACTGGGCAGCAGTCAGGAGAACGGGCAGGAAGGAAGCAAGACGATCAGGGGAACAGGCAGCGAGAGAAGCAAGGCAGTCAGGGGAACGGCATGGGATTGGGAGGGAGGCAGAGAGGGGGTACACCGGCGGAGGAAGGGAAGGAAGAGCATCAGTAGCATGAGTGGCATACACACAACCCATGATGCTTTGAGATTTGAGGGCGTACCTACGGCGGCGATAAGCGGGGCTCGGGGTAGCGAGAAACGTTGACCCTCACGCTGACCTCCGCGTTGACTCTCCCGTTGACTCTCGCGTTGACCATCACAAGGAACAGTCATTGTGCTTGCCAGTCCGAAACCCAAGAGGCAGTAGGCCATGAACACCAACGCTACAGCAACAGCAGTAAAACGGCAAAATCTCCGCGAAGGAATCACTGCGATAGCTCCTTCGAGTACAACCTCTACTTGGAGAGCCACATACACTGCCTCCGCGGCTGTGCGACAGAGAGCCTGCGACGGGTGCGACGCTTCTTCTTTGCGCGCGCAGCTCAACGCGTAGCCGCTTCTATGGCATTAAAGAGCGCTCTATTGTAGCGTTAGGTCGGCCTAGTTGGAAGAACTTCAAGCCTAGAACCCAGCATTGCCAAATGGGCTGCCTTGAGAAGAGTAGATTTGTTGTGAATTCACAGAGATGGGCGTAGTGTGGTGTGGTGTGGATGCAAGGGTGATGGTCAAGCACCCGTTTTGAATGGATACTGCCCATGCATCAAGCAGCTAGGGCGTTCAAAACGGTGAAACTAATACATTCCTCGGTTTGATGCGTTGCAAAGCGTTTCTGAACAATTATTATCCATGGCCCGGCAACCAATAATTCAATGTTCGTGTTTGCTTGCAAGGAGGCACATCCGTGATATGTGCGGTTCGGGGTTTTCAAGCAGTGAATTATTGTCTCCAATAAAACTTCGAGACAGCGATATTAGCTTCGTTACAAGCAACGCTTGAATGCTATGCCCACAGGGTTGCAATACTAGACCCAAAGTGCCTTATTGCACAAATCCCCGAACTATTTCATACTATGGCACCACTGAGATGCCAGCACGTACACAAGATGATCATTAAAAAAAAAAAAAAAAAACACACAGCTCTGCTCTGTTTTGCCACCCAAATTCCACCCTGTCACCTCCTACCTATGCCAACGCTTCGACAGCATAGAGGAAGAGATAGGGTGCGAAGGGGCAACCACCTCCACCAGTTATTTGTTGAAAACAATCGGTCCGAAGCGCCTCTCTCGTGTCGAAACACTAAGACACAAAAGAAACGAAGTATAACGAATCACCGGCGAGTCAACCCTCGGAGGTTGAAAGTAACTGTTGGAGGTTACGCGAAGGTCAGCGACCTTTGACCTGACAAATACAGCGCGACAGCAAGGACACACAACTGACTCGCTACAGAGCAGTTGCCCGAGTCGTCACTGTATCAAACCACAACAGCAATACAGTTATAACTGCATCTCTTCGTATTCCTTGTACTCATATATAAACCTGTATCCGCCTTACTTTGCCCTCACATACTAGCGCAAGGTGGTTCACAACCCTTTAATTAAACGCTTCCGCTACTACACCAACTCTACCCAGAGTTCACTGAGAAGAAGTGAACGAGAATGAATGAACTATGAATGAAGTGAGTACAAATATGAAACCCTAATTGGGTTGTACCCCCTATGGGATACCCCACTATAGCCTACACAAATAAGTAAGCTATAATGTTCTGACACACCCCCATAGGCAAAGTGGGGGAGAACAAGGGGTCACAAGACCAGTCAAGCAAAGCAAAGCAAAGCTCAGGGTGGATCACAAAGTCACCACACATTCCGAGCGCAAGGTCAAGGGCCACAAGGCCAGTTCGCATGCAAGATCATATATAGAGATATACAAGAGTCAAGCAAGCAAGAGCAAGAGTATATATAGGTCAAGGTACAAGCAAGGTCAAGAAGTGAGCAAATGAGGCAAGACAGGCACAAGACCCAGCTGCGTGCAGCAACGCTGATGATCACAAGGCGCAAGTGCCTTGGTGAAGACATCAGCAGTGTTGGCCTCAGAGGCCACGTACGCAAGTCGCAACTGTCCACGCTGCTGTAGCTCACGAGCAAGAAAGTAGCGGAGAGCAATGTGCTTTGTCCTGTGCTCCAGTCGCTGCTCTCGACACAAGGCCAGCATGGCCTTGTTATCTACGTACAGGACTGGAGGAGAACAAGGCGGCTCTCCAAGGTCGGTCAGCAGGTAGGTGAGCCAGCGAAGCTCCTGAGCAGCCATAGCCCCGGCGTAGATCTCAGCCTCACAACTGGAGCCGAGAACAGAAGACGAGCGAGTAGCCCGCCACGAGACAGAGCCGGAACCAAGGCCGAAGGTGTAACCCTGTGACGACCGCTGCGTAGCCTGGTCGTCAGCCCAAGAAGCGTCCGCGTGCCCAGTGAGGACCACTGGACTGCGCCCTCCAAGCACTAGCCCCATGCCCGACGTACTGCACAAGTAGCGCAACACCCTCTTCGCTGCAGCCATGTGCTCTGGTCGGTGTCTCCCAGGAGCAACATAGCGCGCGAGAATGCTGAGAGGGTATGCAAGGTCAGGTCGTGTGAAGGTCATCAGGTACATGAGGCAGCCAACAAGCTCTGCATACGGGCCACTCGACTCTACGGACTCATCCGAAGGCAGAGCTGAGAGCGAGTGGCGAGTAGGCAGAGGAGTGGCCTGAGGCGAGGAGTACGTGAAGCCGAAGCGCTGAAGGACCTGCTGCACCATGTGTGACTGAGTCAAGGTAATGGTGCGGCGTGCTCTGTCCCGAGTGATCTGCAAGCCAAGGTAGCTGCGCAGTTCACCCAGGTCTGTGCACGTGTGTCTCTTCAGCAGCTCGGACTTCACGTAGGCGAGTCCAGCAGTGTCCGCTGTGGCAAAGACCAAGTCGTCGACGTACACGAGGATGTAGAACGGCGGCAGAGAGGTGTCGGTGCGCAGAAACAGCGACGGGTCGGCAGTAGAAGGAGCAAACCCAAGTGCCGCAAGCGTAGTCCTCAGTGTGTCGTGCCACTCACGTGGCGCCTGGCGGAGACCGTAGACTGGACGCCGGAGACTCCACTGGGTACCAGGAGGGAAAGACCCAGTGAAGCCAGGTGGGCGACGCAGCCAGATCTCCTCGTGCAGGCTGCCCTGCAAGAAAGCTGTGCTGAAGTCGAGAGAGTGCAGCTCGTAGTCGCGGTGAGCAGCAACGTGCAGCAGTACCCGAAGAGTGGTCATCTTCGGGGTGGGGGAGAAGGTCTGAAAGTAGTCAACTCCCTGTCGCTGACTGAAGCCACGAGCCACGTAACGAGCCTTGAAGACAGGCGGAGAACCCGGCGGCCGCTTCACCCTGAAGATCCACATGCCACTGACGATGTTTGCCCCAGGAGGGGGAACAGCGTCAACGTAGGTGCCTGTGGACTTCCAGGAAGCCATCTCTGCATCCATAGCTGCCTGCCACTGAGAGGAGTAGGGACCCTCTATCGCCTCCGCGTAAGAGCGCGGAGTCGCGATGTCTAGTGCATCCGGGTCTCCCTCAGGGGCGAGCAGTACAGACGCGAGATGAGGTGAAGCGACGGCCAGACACTGGAACTCCTCCTGCCTGTCCTCAAGGACGTCCGTGCCTAGGGCACACTCACCCCCGACGGACGGAGGACAGGCAGACTCAGACTCAGCGACAAGACTAGCAGCGTAGTCTAGACGACAGCGCGCAGCAAAGTCGACAAGCTCAGTGACAAGGGCAGACGCAGCAGAAGACTCGAAGGAAGGGTCAGTAACAACACTAGCAAGGAGACGCGTGACAGTGGGACTGGCAGCACGAAGAGAGTCCGACTCCGGGTCGGCAAGAGCAGGAAGAGAGGAAGCAGGAGGAGAAGGCAAAGGGGCACGCAGAGGAGCAGTAGACGGACGCAGAGACATCCGGTGCGTGCCAGGGACAGGAGGAGGACGCTGACGTGAACCACGACCACTAGTGCGTGCAGTGCGAACAGGAGACGCAGAACGAGACGCAGGCTCACGACGCTCAGTAAGACCTCCAGTCGGACCAGCGTAGGGAGAAGGAGCAGGCAAAGGGGAGGCAGGCTGTAGCTGTAACTGTGACGGGACTGGCTGTGGACCCTCTAAGGGAGGAGGAGGAGGACCAGGAGAAGGTGTCAGACCAAGAACCTGCTGCAGGAGCGGAACGAAGTACGGTCGGGGCCGCGTGGCGACGCCAGAAACAGCAGGGACAGCAGCAGTACCCCCAGCAGGAGTACCCGCTCCAGCAGCACTTCCAGCAGCACCTCCAGCACCCCCAGCAGCACCAGGAGCACTGCCAGTCGAACCGCCAGCAGTAGTCTCAGCGCCAACACCCTCAGCAGTACCAGCTCCAGGAGAGCCCGCAGACCCAGCAGCTCCAGCACCCACAGCAAGAGCACCTCCGGGACGCGCGGCAGCAGCAGCCTCTGCAGCCGAAGAACCTCCAGCACCAGCAGCACGCCTCCAGCGCCGGGCAAACCACTCACGCAGCTCCTGTGGGGAGAGTGGCTCTCGGCGAGACGAAGCACCTCCAGGCGGAGAACCTCCAGGCTCAGCACCCTCAGGCAAAACACCTCCAGGCGGAGCACCCCCAGTCTCAGCACCCCCAGGCTCAGCACCCCCAGGCTCAGCACCCCCAGGCTCAGTACCCCCAGGCTCAGCACCCCCAGGCTCAGCACCCCCAGGCTCAGCACCCCCAGACTCCGCACCCCCAGGCTCAGCACCCCCAGGCTCAGCTCCCGCAGCAGGACCAGAGTCACCAGTGACCTCGACAGGCTCGACCGCGTCTACCTGGGACACACCTGAAGGGGCAGGACCCTGAGGGGGGAGGGGGTCTACCGGGGGGGGACCTGGTACCAAGAAGAGCGGGGGCGGGGGAAGGGAAGGAGTGCGGTAGGGGAAGAGGCGGTAGTAGGGTACCGACTCATCGAACGTGACGTCCTGGGAGGACAGAACACGTCGAGAGGTGGGGTGGTAGAACTGCCACCCAGGGGCGTCGGGGGGGAACCCCAGGAAGACGCAGGGAGCAGCGCGAGGGGACAGCTTGTCCGCAGACAAGTCGCGGACAAACGCCCGAGATCCCCAGACCCGGAACGCCGACGCATCGCCAACCTTCCCCGTCCACAGCAAGGCTGGGGAGGTCTCCGGCCTGGAGACCCTGGGGTGGAGGTTGATCTGATGCGCCGCGTACCTGACCACAAACGGCCACAGAAAATGGGGGGCAGCCGCATGCATCATAGACGTACGAGCGACGTCCATGACCATGCCAAT